GTTACAGAACCAAGTATTAAATTTTCAGTGTGAGCATTTACAACTTGGAAATTGGCAAACATTACAAATCAGGGATTGATTTACTATTTTGTTTGTTGTGTAGACATTAAAAAGTGATGGCAAAAGTATAAAACAGATTAAATTTATAAAGATGTCATGCATACATTTCTTTCTGGAGAGTCAGTTAAACATTTACCACTACAATCCTCCATGTGGTTTACCCACTATGGCAAGTAAGGTCCAGTAAAATAAATGGCGAGATGAAACTATCGTTTTTATATCCCTTTAGAAATTAGATATTCAAGCTTGGCCTGCAGAGTTTGGAAATATGGCTTCCAGGTTTGAAATACAGGGCTGCAGTACTCAGAAGTTTTTTCTATAGCCATTTAACAAGATGAAGAATATAACGGAAAGTAAGTGGCGATCTTGGCAACCTCACACTAATATTTACAGATAACCAAACTGTGAGAGGGTTTAGGTGCTTTCAGTGATTGCCATAATATTGCCCCTCCAATTACTATTTGGTAATCAATGTGTAGTACTCCTTTACCCAAAGAATTGGAATGTAGCTGCTTTGTATGCCTACAGGACAGGACAGAGGGTCTCAATGTATTCTGACTCAAGGACAAAAGGGGCTATAACTATATGCCTGAAAAGAAAGCTTCCTTCTCTTACCCAAAATAGGAGGAACAATGCCAAAATCTCATAAGAAAAAGTAAACAAACACACAGAGGACAATGCAACAAAGAGAAGAAGGGAAAGGACAAAAGGCTGGCCATTCTGGAAGTATACCTAACACCACCACTACTGCTGCTCTGACCAGAAACAGAATGATAAGCAAAGACTGCATCTGAACAACATGGAAGCTGTCCCTGTTGCCAAGAATGAAATCTGATCCTCCTGCTTCCCCAACCTTTTGATAACTCTGAAAAGAAGAAAGGAGGAGGAGAAGGAGGAGGAAGAGGAAGAAGCCAAGGAGAAGGAGAAGGAAGAGAAAGAGAAGGCAGAGGAGGAGGAGGAAGAGAAGAAGGAGAAGAAGAAGGAAGAAGAAAGAGGAAAGAAAGAAAGAAAGAAAGAAAGAAAGAAAGAAAGAAAGAAAGAGAAAGAAAGAAAGGAGGGAGGGAGAAAGAAAAGAAGGAAGGAAGGGGAGAAAAGAAAGGAAAGAAGGAAGGGAAGGAAGGAAGAAATGTTGTTGTCCTTTGTTTTTGAAGAGGACCAAAATGACATCACTATGCTAGAGTCAAGTTTTAGTGTGTACAATTTGGCTGATCAGACCAATACAAGCTCAGAATGTTCTACCACAGGTCAGGCACAAATAGTTGGTATGAATCTTTGGGGTGGATTCTCTAAGTTTGTGTATATTGCATTTCTCTTGAGCTATTTCAATTCTGCTTTGCTCATGATGTGGGCATGCCATGCTGCGCAGTCCTGTGCCAATGTCTCTCTCCCATGTCACACAATCAATTCCAAAGTTCTTAAGACCTTGAGAGTGTCCTTGTATTGCTTCTCTGACCACCATGTGAACTCTTGCCCTGTGTGAGTAGTAAAATGATAATTGTAAATAGTAAATAAAATAGTAAAATACTACTAGTGATAAAGTAGTCTTTTTGGCAAGTGTACGTTTTGAATTCAAACAACATGGCCAGCCCATCAGAGTTGCGCTGTCTGAAGCAGAGTTTGAATGCTTGGAAGTTTAGTTCAAGAAAGGACCTCACTGTCAGGTATCTTATCTGCCAGGTGATCTTCAGAATCTTCCTAAGATAATTCAAATGGAAGTGATTCAGTTTCCTGGCATGGTGCTGGTAGGCTGTACAGGTTTCACAGGCATACAACGAGGTCAGCACAATGGCTCTGTAGACCTTCAGTTTGCTAGTCAGTCTTAATACCTCTTTTCTCCCATACATTCCTTTGGAGCTTCCCAAACCCTGAACTAGCTCTGGCAATGCATGCGTCAACCTCGTTATCAATGTGTACATCCTTGGAAAGTACACCACCAAGGGAAGTAAATTTATCTACAGCATTCAAAACTTCTCCATTTGCTGCACGGAAGGAAGGAAGGAAGGAAGGAAGGAAGGAAGGAAGAAGGAAGGAAGGAAGGAAGGAAGGAAGGAAGGAAGGAAGGAAAATCACTTGTCTGAAAGATTTTTTGATGCATATTACTATTGTTAAAACAGAGAATAGGTAAATCCTGAATATCCTGGATATAGAATAAGACAACAGTTTTCTGGTAGAAGGAGGTTTAATAAGTGAGTGGAGTCAGCCCTGTCTGAAGCAATGCCCTTAGACAACTTCCATTCACATTGTCTCTCTCAGCAGCAGGACTAAAAGAATCCTACTTAGTAGTAGAGTGAGAGTATTGACTACGTGGAAAGTCACCTCTGGGGAAACAGCAGAAACTGTGATCTGTAAAAATTATGCTGACTTACACTAAAGTGAAAGGAAGAGAGAGGGACTGGGGAGGGGAAGGTGGAATCAAGTTGCATACAGCTTATACTATGCAATCAGTGTTGCTCCATTTTGTTAGGATCAGCATCTTTTCATAAATCTGTGTTCATAGGTCCAAACATGTTTAACAATTCAATTTAGTTTACTCCAACTCAAGAAATATTCATTCACCTTTTAGTATGAGCTAGTCATTGGGATACAAAGACAAAAACTAAAGTCTTTCTCCTCAAGTAGTTTACATCCTATTTTACACCCTTTTTGCATACAAATAGCACTCTTATGTCCATGAAAGAAAATTCAGCTGTATGGAAGTCCATACCAATCTGATTACATTTTTAAAACAAATCCCACTCCAATCTTGAGGTAAGAATATGTCCTAAAATGAAGTTTCTTTACCTACCACGGCCGAGTACTCTGAATTTTAGTTTTCTCTATGTATTTGCCTGATGCTTCTGATCTTGCAAATAGGGATTACTTAATTCTTTGTATTTGTAATTCTTATCACACAGTAGACATTTAATAAATACTTGATTCATTGATTCTATACTGATGTGTGTAGGCAACACATTTTAGACACTTTAATCAAACTGCAGCTTTACTCTTATAAGTGATTATGCTTAATATATGTTGGGATGTTAAAGATTATAATAATGATTTACTCTTCATAGAACTTTTAATTGGAGACTGAGTCTCAATGAAATTAACATTGGAAGAGGATCAGCAGACACAGCTTCATATCCCAAGTGTGCCATTAATTTACTATCTGATCTTGAGCAAATCTTTTCAATTCTTGGAATTTCAATTGTTTCATCTGAACAATGATGGGGTTCAACTAAATGGTCTCTAAAGTACCTTCCAGCTTGAATGCTCTATACTTTTCACTTTATATGCAAATCCTTGCGATACTAGTACTATAGAACTAGTACATAGTAAATGACTAATAAATGTGTGTTTAATTAACTCCCAATTTTGCCTTGCAGTTCATTATTTTTCCTATTGAATATTTATCACTTTTCCCTACTACTAATAATAGCTAGTTAGCTAGTGCTTATGTTATGCTTTAAAGTTTACAAAGTGTTCTACAAATATTGTCTCATTTTATCCTCACAACAACTCTCAGAAGTAGATGTAATTATCATCCTCATTTTACAGATGAGGGAACAGAGTTCCATGCAGTGACTTACCCAGGATCACACAACCAGTAAAGTTATAAGAACAGATTTTAAGTCAGTTTTTTCCTGCCTAGAAGCCTAGAACTCTATCCATTTACACCACCTAGATGCTAATACATCATTAAAAAGTGGCAATTGTGTATTTGATTTGCAGTTTCCCTTACTAAGGTACTTGACTTTTTCTCCCAGGCAGGATGTTTTTCCCCTTCTGATTTTCAATATACTGTGTACAAAGAACTTAACAAAAGCAGATTTTCAAACAATGATGATGATGACTGTGATGCTGATAGTAGTAGCCAACAGCAAAGTTTTCTCATCAAAATCTACCTCTGCTATGGATTCTGACTGTCAAAAATGATTTTATTTAACTATAAATCAATTGCAGGGTCCTGGAAAGTTGTTGCCATTAGCATTCACAAACCTGCTGACTGTTCTCTTCTGCCATCTAGTGGAACTGTAAAGCATGGCTCAATATATTTTGCTTAAAAAAAAAAATCCTGTATTCCCTCTGGGGAAATTGGGAAGGTTTCAAAAATGCCAAATGAAATAAACAAATGATTCTATTCTTGCTATTGTCATTGAAAGGAATTTCTATAATGTTCTAAAGAAAATTATGTGAATGTTATTAAAAATTAAATATAATACATAAAATATTATTTAGATCTTCTAAAGCCAAACTACTGAAAAATTAGAAAATAGCTAAACTGTATAGGTTGAACTTTAATTTTCTCTTTTCAGTGAACTTAGCTATTAGAATTAAAGCTTAAAAAACAAAAATATTGAGTAATTTAAAGCACTCTTACATAAAAACTGTCTATTTTAGATGCATTTGTACCATATCAAGGGATTTATAGGAAAAGATTGAGAGATAACTGAAGTGATTACAGATGGAAAGAAAAGGAAAGAAATTTAGTTCTACTCTGTTTAACGCTGATATAGAAAAGTACTTCTCAATTCTCAAAATTTAACCACTTACCTCAGCTAGAGGTTTTGTTATTACTATTATTTACAAATGTAATGAAATGTTTAATAACTATAGAGTTTGGTCTTAATGTTCCAAATCTGGAACTTCTATCAGAAGGCAAAAGTGTTCTGTTTATTTATGTGAATCTAAAATAACATACAATATCTCTAATGAATAAAATGTTTTCTTTCCTCTGAAGTGTGACAATGCTGTTTCACTGAATAAACACCTTAGGGAAAGTTGCTTAACAGTTTAAAAATATTCCATTTTCTTTCTATTTTCCATTTAAATTGCCAAGCCATTATTGAGCTTTCAGAATTTTTTTTTTGTCAGAAAGATCTTTGATGACAGTAATCCCAAGTTTGAAATGGAGCTGGAATTTTCTACTCTGAGTCAACATCTACAACATATTTTTCCAGGGTGGAAAAATCCCCATAAGATGGACAGCCCCAGAAGCTATTGCCTACAGGAAGTTTTCATCAGCTAGTGACGCATGGAGCTATGGCATTGTCATGTGGGAAGTGATGTCCTATGGAGAAAGACCTTACTGGGAAATGTCCAACCAAGATGTAAGTGCTTCAGATATGTAAGCTTAAGTTACCTCATCAATTTAAAGTTTTTGTCATTAAGGTGGAGGGGGATAGTATCTCTCTTCTCTAAGATCAGCTGTTATGATGGGACTCAGTCCCAAGTTCCATCAGTAGGATAATTTGAGTGGGGTAGTAATATTCTATTCATTGCTACTAGATTTGTGCCTTATTTCAAGTGGGTGCCTTTTTTCTAGATCTGTGAATTCTACCTGAGTTATTCCAAATGATTATACTATACGATACCATGATTTACATACAACTAAAAATGAAAGAAAAAAATAAATGCTTATTTTTCATTGATATTTCATTCAAGGGGTGACTTTTTAAGTTTTACTGAAAAAAATTAAGTTTTCCTTAAAAACACTGCATAGAACTTTCCCTCAAAGAAAACAATGACTCCTAATAGACAATGTTTTGATACATAATAATAATTTTATATATAATACTAACATTAATATCACATATATGATGGTTACACTTATGGATCCTTTAATCTACTTTATTTTAAACTAATACAATATCCCTATCAGACAAAGAATTGTCATAGGATAATGAATTTTGTCCTAGGAGGGACCTGAGAAGCCATCTATACAATCCGCTTATTTTGCAGTGAGGAAAATGAGACCCAAAGAAGGGAAATAATTGGCAGAACTGAGATTTGAATCAAGATCTTCTCATTCTAAAGTTAGTCCTCTTGTCGTTACCTCAGTTTACTATTGGGTCAATATGTCAAGAATCTGTGATTTCAGGGCAGCTAGGTGGCGCAGTGGATAGAGCTCCAGTCTTGGAGTTGGGAGGACTCGAGTTCAAATCCAGTCTCAGACACATAATGCTTACTAGCTGTGTGACTTGGACAAATCACTTAACCCCAATTGCCTCACAAAAAAAAAGAATCTGTGATTTGGGGGCAACTAGGTGGCACAGTGAATAAAGTTCCAGCCTTGGAGTCAGGAGGACCTGAGTTCAAATCTGGCCTCAGACACTTGATACTTAACTACCTGAGTGAACCTGGGCAAGTCACTTAACTCCATTGTCTAGCCAAAAAGCAAAAAAAAAAAAAAGAATCCATGATTTCATCAGGGGGAGGGGGTGGAATCTTAGGCACAAAACTAGTAAAGAACACATTCCAATGGAGATTTTCCTGACTTCAGGTCTAATTCCCTATCCACTACACCAAGCTGCTTCTCATTGTGGATGATGAAACTGAGATGCAGTTTATTCATTCAACATTCAACTAATATCCAATGAGTGAATGAAAAAAGCATTTACTGCATTTAACACTTATTATCTGCCAAGCACTCTGCCATGCCCCAGGATAGAATTACAAAAGCAAAAATAGCCCCTTTCCACAAGAGGCTTACATGCTAATTGTAGATGACACATCTAAAGGAGTGGTAGCCAGGGAGGGCAGTTTGGGTCCAAAGAGGTCAAAAGACTTACACAGGCAATAAATTTCAGTGCTGAGGCTCAAACTTACCTTGTGCCCTTGGCTCTTTGCTACACTTTGCTCTGCCTACTGCCACATTATGCTAGGCATTGGGGAAGGTACAAAAACTTAGATAAACCATGATTCCTGCTCTCACGGAGCTTAGATCTAATAAGGAGATAAGTTGCAAACCACAGCTAGCAAGAGGCAGTGTGCTATAGTGGAATTCATAACAATAACCACAACACTGAGGCATAAACTTTTCAGAACAAAAGATGTTGCCATGCTGGACATTTGTAATCTCTAAACAACACAGAATTCAAAAATAGAGACCTAACTAAAGAAATTAAAATTCTATGGGTACAGGACAAGATACATTTCTTCTCTGTTTTCCTATTTACTGTTGAAGTTGTACCAAAGATACAGTCAATCAATGTGCAGAATATAAGCTTACATCCCAATATTCTTACTCAATTTTAAAGATCAATAATTCTATCTATCTGTGTAATAGTCTGTAGAGCATTAAATACAAATAAAATAAAATAAAATAAAATAAAATAGCAGAATGATGGCTTGTCCTTAGATGCCTCCCCTCACCCCTCCTGAAAAGGCTGAAAACCTCCTTTTGTGTTGAATCCCCCCCATCAGACTATTAGTTGAGGGCAAGGGACTGTCTTTTTCATATTTGTGCACAGTGCCTGACACATAGTAAGTACTTAATAAATGTTTATTGACTGGTTGATTAAGTCTATTATAACTTCATCGGAAAAAAAAAGATGAGAATGAGATGACAGTGAACAACAACTGAACAACTGATATTTATATGGTGTTTAAAATTCTTCAAAGCACTCTACTTATTTTATCTTATTTGAGCATCTAAACGAAGCTGTGAGGGACCACAAGCTTTATAATCCCATTTTATAGTTAAGGCAAGTGAGGCACCAAGAGGTTAAAAGAGTTTACCTAAAATCACACCGGTTTCTACCGGAATTCCTCCAATTCTGATCCCAGAGTGGAAAGTATTCTTTCCACAGTCTGCTAAAACACTACACAGTTCACTTGCCTACTCAGAGTCAATTCAGAGAAAAATCCATGGAGGGTATTTTCTGAACCTGAGTGGGATTTGGGCAGATAGGGATAGAAGTCAAGGATCTTCATTACTTGATATTGCCACCCTCCCTCGGACTACCTTCCATTGAAATGTTGTTCCGTTGTATGTACATTGTTGTTTGTTTTCTACCCCATTCAGATGTAACCTCCTTGAGGGCAGGGGCTTATTTTTATTTTTTGCCTTTCCTTGGGTCCCTCAGCACTTAGCGTAGTGCCTGGCACATAGTAAATATTTAATAAGTGTTTGTTGATTGACTGATTTACTGACTTATAGACTGACTGTCCAAATGATTGACTGACTGTATTTCCAGTGTGTCCATGAGGATGAATTTGGGAGCAGATCTCAAACAGGATTCAGGCTCTTAACTTTTCATAGTCCTTGCTAGGGGCACCAAAATATATTCAAGCCTAGATCTGAAAATTGTCCATAAACAATCCAGTATCACAACAAAAATTTGAGGTCTTTGAAATGAGATGAGGCTATAAAAAAAAAGTTACTACCTTGGAGAAATGTAGTGTTTGCATTTGCAGTAAAGAAAGCTGAAATTCTATTTAGCTTAACGTATTAGGAGGTAGCATATCTGTGACAAATCTTGTAATCAGAGTTCCTGTTTGGAAATAGAAATGGCTTAATCAAAATTTCCCCAGCTGCCCTGTCCAAACACTAGCTATTTTATATCCGTCTCTGCTTTATTTGCTTGCATAGGTATGTTTTGCCTTATATAATTTTTCTTTTTGATGTTATATAAAGTAGAGGAATATTTTAAGAAATGAACATTGAACTATATTGTTTGGATATTGAACGTTTTATTCTTTCACTACACTTTGGCCAATTTTAAAAAGTAAAATATAAAGTGTTTTGAGCCTTGAAATAAGTTAGGGAAATTCCAGATAGTTTTATAGACATTAATCTATTCTGAAGAACAGCACACATTTCTAAGTTTGTAGAATTTGTTTTAGAGAAAGGTCAATGGTACTGTCTATTAGGAAAGGGAAATGGAGTGGGGGAGAATCTGCATGTATAGAATCTAAAGCGTAAAAGGCTTAACACAAAAGTATCAGCAACTAAGCTCTGTATACTCATTCAGCAAGTATTCACTGAGCTCGGATTATGGGACAGAAAAAGGCCAGGTACTTTAAGGCAGACAAAATAAATAGAAAACCCAGTTTTGCCATCAAGGAGATTATAATTTCATAGAGAAAAGGAGGCACTTAAGAATGTAGCAGTAGTAACAATTTTCATTTATATAAAGCTGTAAAAATGTGCTTTCATATACATCATCACACTTATATCTCCCACAACCCCAAGAAGGAAGCAAGGCAGGAGTTATTGTTCCCATTTTATTGATGAGGGAATAGAAACAGAAAAGCTGAAGTAAATTCATTCAGGATCACACAGGTACTCAAGAGTGGAACCAAGTAGAGCTTACAATCAGCAATTTTAACCCACAAAGAAGTGGCAAAAACAAACAAACAAACAACAGAAACAGACTCCTCTGAAAGAATGGAAGCTTTCTGAGGGCAGAGACTGGTATCCCCAGGCCCTAGCCTGTTTGTCACATAGTAGGTGATTACTAAATGTTTGTTGATTGAGTGAGTGAGTGAGTGAGTGATTAACTGCCTCGGCTGGGGAACACAAATAGGGAGAGTAGGGAATTTAATAATTTTATTTAATTATTCTAGATAACTAGGTAAGCTTAGTTGTTCCTATGCTGCTAAAGGACCGCAAATGCTATCAATGCACTTGAAATCTGTGTATAGTGGGGAATGCCCTGGTTATTCTATCTCAATTATGACTTTATAGTCAGGATTTTTGTTGTTTAGTCATTTTTCAGTTGTGTCCAACTTTTCATGACCCCATTTGGGGTTTTCTTGGCAAAAATGCTGGAGTGGTTTGCCATTTCTTTCTCCAGTTCATTTTTGAGATGAGGAAACTGAGGCAAAGAGGGTTAAGTGACTTGCCCAACGTCACACATACGTTTCTGAGGCTGGATTTGAATTTATGTGGATGAGTCATCCTGACTCCAGGCCCCACACTCTATCCACTGCTCCATCTAGCTGCCCTGTAGTCAGGTTTAGGATCCTTTTTCTCACTTCTGGTTCACTGGTCTCTACAATGAGTTATATAAATGCACATTTTTAAAGGGACTTTCAAACATTGCTCTATCAAATGGTACTAAGACATTAATATTACAAATAATCACTTTTTATAAAACTTTTCTAATCTTACTAAAAAAAATTTAATTTTCAATATAGCCTGTACAGCTTACATGATACAGAATCATTTTGAGTGTCTCATCTTAGTATTTTACTTAGACTCCATGGCATCAAAAGAGAAGCATGATTATTTTTCTTATTATTAATAATAGCCAGCATTTATATTTAGGGTTGCAACCTGCTTTACAAATATTATCTTGGTGTGTAGCCAAGATGGTGGAGTAAA